GCCATGTGGAAGATCACTCCCATTCCAACCAACAGGGAGTGGGGATGGAAGAAGGGGCAGTTTTGTCTCCTTCCCCTCCAATCTACCCAATGCAGGATAAGCCACTACACTAAATTCCCCAGAGCCTGAGCCCAGGTCTAGTTTTAAAAAATGCCAGTGATGCAGCCTCTACCTCTTCCCACCCCACCTTGGGAGACTATTGTCTGACATCACAGACCCTGGTGTTAGGACATGTTATTTTGCTGCCCCGCCGTCCTGTCCTTTGTTATCATTCAGCCACATGTTTAAAACCAATTCAGTTGTCTCATGGCAAACAAAAGGATATTTTGATAATCGAACATCAAGACCATTAAAAAGGAGACAGGGTTGTTAATGCTTGTGGAGGGAAGCAAGACTGACAGGAATCCAGTAGATGATAATGAGCCATGAAGTTAATTGATTCCCTTAGCACTGCCTGACTAGAAATCAGAATGTTTTCCTCAGCAGGACCTGCACACATCTCTCTGCAGTCAGGCCTTTGGTCCTTCATATATTAACCTTCCAACCATCCACAGACACAGGTAGAAGGATAAGGGACAACACAGGCCTTGCCATCTTCCATCCTTGGGGTGTGATTTTTTTCGGAAGCTATTATTAGTCACCAACAGCTCCAAGACATGGAAATTGTCTGGGGTTCCTGTGTTTATGGCATAGTAAGGGCTCTTAGCCCTCATCCTTCATGTGATAAATGTACCATTAGCTAAGCTCAGGAAGAAGTTTCTCCCCCCAACCCAACACAGTATGTGGTACTCCACAGAGAGGTGCGTTATGCAAAGCTGTACACATCCCATTGAAGCACCTGGCACTGCTGACTGTTGGAGACAGGATACAAGACTAATATGTCTTTGTGGTTTCCAGGGCTCTCTTTGCAAACTAGACAGAAAGAGGCAGGCACTCTCTTTCCATGGGCCATTTAGAAACAGCAGCAGATTCTGTTCTGCTTCCCTTGTAGCAGGCAGAATCACTGGGCTCAATTCCCATTTCAGGACCTTCTGAACACCAGGAAAAATGACGCACAAAGTAGGGGAAATAGGCAGGAGAAAGAAATTTGGCCGGAGGTTAAAGGCCAAATGGACCCTTAGATCATGTAGTCTAACTTTGTTTAACACAAGTCAAGGGATTTCAGACAGCTTCCCCTGCAGTGAGCCCACCTGAACCAGCAAATCAGAATGGGAGAGAAAGTTGAGAGAGTAACGGAAAAGGAAACCAGGACTAAAAATTGAAGTCCTACCGTCCTTTAGCTTCTCATCCTGAGGGAAGGGCCCATCGGGGGGCACATCTGCAGCTATAAGGACTGCCCGCGAGTCTTCCAGCACCTGAACATTCAGAAAGAGAACTCAAGTTATTCTGTCCATCCCCAAGATGACCTGCCTGCCCCAGATTTTCTGCCAGTTCCAGTCTCCTCTTAGGCCCCAATCACCTCTCTTCCTCTATCCCTGGTGTGTATTTTGCTTGGTACTGCAGTGTGCTCCAACTCTCCCACCCTGTTTCCAAGCACTGCTCCATCTCCTCCTACCTACCATGACCCAAGGAGCAGTCTCTAACCTTGCAGTTCACTTTTGCTGGCCCTATAGGCCTTTATTATTACATCCCCTACCTGTGCTCTCCCGCCCCAACTTTGACATTCCTATTGCGGTGAACACTTTGGATGGGGACATGCTCTTGGGAACACATACTCAAATTAAGCTATAACCGATTAAGCTATACTGGTCATCTTCTCTGCTCAGTCAAAGGTTGGGAACCCACATCCATGATTAGAAGGCAACCAAAGACCACCCCCAGCCCTAGAGGAGAGAGAGTAGCTGTGTTCATTAGACAACACTCACTTTAAAGAGCCCCTTCAGCATGATGTCAATGATTTTATATTGTTGGTTCACATCATTGAGCTCGATCAGGTTCTTCAGTGCATTCATCTGGTCCTTGCGCTTCACTTCAAACAGCTTCTTATCTGCAGCTCTGTCAAGGACACCACATGCCTCCCTGAACCCCACTTCCCACTGCAGCCTGAGCACGCAACATTGGGGCTTTCTTGAAAGCCTCACTAGGAAGTCTCGCACAGACATGCCACCTCCTCTTTTCCCAGGTGCTGAGCTAAGCTCCATGACTGATTTTTAAGTGCTTGTAAGTTGTTTTTCTTCTTGCAGTTCCAAACTCAACCATTCCCAGCTGAGTTTACCCAAAAAACAGGTTACACTCCTGGATGCTGGTTCATGCAGTGCCCTGGAGGTAACACTACCCAAAGCAGCAAAGCCACTCCTAGGGACTTCTTGGTGCATGAAAACAGGATGCAACTGACTGAGCCAATCCACCACAGCAGAAGAGCAGAGAGAGACAAGAGGAGTCTTTCAGCAACCCCTTAAGCCAGACAACCCTTTGAGAGTAATAACTACTACTAAGCCCTTACACAATTAGAAATGTGTATTTGTAAACCATCAATGTAACTGAAGGACTGATGACAGACCTTTTTCTTTTCTTCCCATCCATCAGGTCAGGATCAGCAATGCAGCTGAATGCAGTCTTATCATTCAGTTAATTGTCTTGATTTACAGTTTGCTAAGTGGGTTGACACAATGCCCTGGCTTGACTCTGTGGTGCCTGGCATTCCAAAATGGCTGCCCATCCAAGCACTACTAACCATGTCCAGGACTGCCTACCTTTCAAGAGCTGATGAGATCAGGTGTATTGTCTCATATGGCTGCTTAACAGCTACCTTAAATAAAATCTCCAATCTCTAAGTTCTCACATATGTGATGGGCTTTGAACATCTTAGACATACCTGTTAAATGCCAGTCTGGTTAACCTTTCATCAGAAGACACTGGCCCATACCAGACAGAATTTGTGCTTGCTGCTATTTCTACCTGACTCTCCAGGAATGATGAGCACAGAAAAGATGTAAATCAGGCTGAGTGAAACATGTACAATAAAGCCACTCCAACAGGGAACCCTGAGCACTAAGCCATTGCTCTCAGCTACTCCATAGGTCTTTGTTAAATTTTCAGTTCAAAGTTGCTTTCACCCGGCGATCATTTTTATGGGCACCAAGATATTCTCATTAAGAGGCATTATCAAACCCAGTGCAGCAGGGGCAATGAGCAGAAAGGAATACTGTGCTCCATAAATGTATGTGTGTCCTGCTGATAAATTGCTCCCTGCCCTGATAAAACACTGAAGGGATGCAGGCAGCATGCAAGTAAATCAGTAGTGGAGAAATGACAGCAATCTACAGATACCTGAAGGACTGTTATACAGATGAGGAAAAACCCCTTTTTTCACTTGCTACAGAGAGTAGGTTGAAAAACAATGGCTTGAAGTTGCAAAGTAGATACAGATTGGATATCAGGAAAACTTCTTCACTGTCAGAGCAGTTAGGCAGTGGAATAGACCGCCTAGGGAAGCTGTGACATCTCCATCACTGAAGGTGTTCAAGAAGAGGCCTGACAAGCACTGGTCAGGGATGATCTAGGAATAAGCTCTCCCTTTGTTCTACTATGGGTTTTCCCTATGCTTCTGGGCTTTGCTGGTTGACACATGGGGCTGGGAAGGATTTTTTCCCCCTCCTGCTGCTACAGCTGTTGTGGGAGTGATTTGCCTCCCTCAGAGGCACTGGGCTGCAGCAAAGGCTGGGGATTTTGACTGGAGCGTGCCAGTGCTCCTCCTGGAACTTAAATGTAGAGATTCCTGGCTAGAGGATCTTGCCCCTCTACTCAGGGTCAGACCAATCTCTATATTTGGGGTCAGGAAGGAATACTACACCATGGTGAGATTGGTATGGGCTGTGGAAGGTTTTGCTTTCCTCTGTACCAGAGGGCCATGGCCTTCTTTCTTGGATCTCTCAAATGTATTTTATCAACCTTTGCAGCAGCAGAACATTGACTGCTGTGGTACTCTTGCTTTATCTGTGTGTGGCAGGTTAAGGTATTATGACTTGTAGCTGTATGTAGGTTTACTAACAGGTCAGACAATGGGTTTGGATAAGGATGATCCTGCCTCAGGCAGAAAGCTGGAGCAGATGACCTATGGAAGTCCCCTCCAGCCCTGTTTTTCCATGATTCTGAGACTCTAAACCCATAAGCCTGATTAAATCCTCTCTGTAGAAGAGCAAGGCAGCAGCAGCTCAGCAGTTCTGGTGCAAGTGCAATAACAGAGTCAACCTTACAGCTCATCTCTGGTTCCTCACCCATCCTTTAGCTAACTACTCCACGCTGTGCTTTCTCCATTCTTTTGCTCAGCCTAAAGGATCTAGTTGATGCTTCCACCACCTCTCTTGGGAGATTATTCCACTCCTATAAAATATGTGCCATTATCCAATTTGCATTGTCCTTAGTTCACTTTTATCTTCTTATCCCTGATTATAACCCCCTTAAGTTCCCTAATTAGCACCTCTTCTTCCTTGGTGTTTAATCCTCATAATACTGAGAGCTCTCTCCTAGTTCTCCTCAACCTCACACATAGCAAAGGTCCACAGAAAAGGATACAGATTTCCAAGCCAGAGTCTGTCCTCTGCTTCTCTGTGTCTGAAGAGTTGCCCTTGGACAATACTAGGAGGAACACAAAGGTGCCAACCCATAGAAAATCCATGTCTACAGTCCTGGATTGGAACAAAAGACTTCACAAACTAAATGAGACATACAATCTTCCCCAACATGTCCCAGCCACAAAACCCACCAATGACATTTGGTCCAAAATACCTTCCCTAGGAGACAGGATCCTTTTACAGAAGAATACCTGCTTTCTCAACTTCCTTGTTCCCATTTCCCCCTTCCCTTTTCTAATCCCTGACTTCTATTCAGCACTGGTTAGGCCTCACCTAGAGTACTGTGTCCAGTTTTGGGCAGAGCATTTTGGACAGAGAGCAACAAAAATTATTCAAAGTCTAGGAACAGGGGTGGATCTAGGAGGTGGGGGTTGCAGTTGCACCCCGCTTTGTTTCTTGCTCCACCAAAAGGTTAAAACCAACTGCCTGGCAGAGGCAGCATCATTTCTAGTCAGGCAGTGCTGAGGGAATCAACTGACTTCATGGCTCATTATCATCTATTGGATTTCTGTCAATTTTGCTTCACTCCACAAGCGTTAACAACCCTCTCTCCTTTTTAATGGTCCGATGTTTGATTATCAAAATATCCTTTAGTCTGCCATGTTGCTGTCTGTTAGCCATTCCCGGTAATATCTCTTTTCCACTCACAGCCCTTCAAACTGTTTTTGGTTCTAACTAAAAACAAATTTACAGGTGGTAATGTTAATTCAGATGAACATTAACTCAGGTGTGGCAATGACTGATGATGAAGTGCTGAATGCTCTGTCAAGATACTCTGGAAGGCTAGATTTTGTTTAATAAGTCTAAATAAGAATTATACATTTAACTATCATGACTACAGGAGTAATAAAACAATATATTTGTTCTATTTTTGCCTAGCTTGTTGGGTTTTTAAACCGAATCTAGCAAATCAGTGTACATACCAGTAAAATTGTATTTGTTTTTGCTTTAATCTTAAACTGAGTAATATAGTGCTAGTCCCCTTGAATATTAGTAAATCTTCTAGTTTCTCTTTAACTTGAGAAAAATATATGTTATGTTATATGTGATGGTGCACCACACCATTTGCACCCCCTTTTTCAAAATCCTACATCCACACGTTTAGGAAACGTGATTTATGAGAAAAGGTTGGAAGAACTTGGATGATTTAGTCAAGAGAAAAGAAGACTGAGTGGGGATTTGATAAGTCTTCAAATTCCAGAAGGTTGGTTAAAAAGGTGATGGTGAAAAATTATTCTTTGTGCTAGCGGGGGATAGGACAAGAAGTAACAGTCTTAAATTGCAACAAGGGAAATTTAGGTTGGATATTAGGAAGAATGTATTTACAATGAGGTGGGTTAAGCACTGGAACTGATTACTTATAGAGGGTGTACTTCATCCCTGGACGTTTCCAGGTGTAGGTTACCCACACACTTGTATGCGAAAGTTTAGACAGGGATGATCCTGACTGAGCAGGGGGTTAGATTAGATAACCCCCTGAAGTCCCTTCCAGACCTGTTTTCCCATGATTCTGATTCTACCAGATCTGCAGATAAGGGGAATGAGGGCTACACCATAATCTGAAGTGGCAGGCAGTAGTTACTGGTGGAAGCAAGGTACATCAAGTGCCAATGTTTACATAGCCGAAGGCAGAGATATTAGACATGACAGGCCTGGGGTCTCATCAAGATCAGTAATTCCTTATCTTTGTCAGTGTCTGAATTAATCTATTCTTTTAACCTTTGCCTTCTGTCCTAGTGGCTTAAATCACTTTCACAAGAACTTCCTCCTGACATCTCACCTGTCCAGTTTTACTTTTCATGTTTGGTTGTTATGCCTCTTCTTAGACGTGTGCTATTAGCTCCATGAACGTATTATCTGCACAGTCCTGTTAGGATTCCCCTTCTTAATCTCCTTCTCATCAGACTCTTAACTCAGCTCCCTGCTGTTTCACCTGCTACTCTTTTTATCTTCCCACTTTGCTGACACAGGCTGTTGATATGCATTATAATCAAAACTGTATGTAAAGGGCATGCTACAGTTTTAGTTGCAAGCATATTGATAGTGTTTAGAGAATTACTTAACTGTATATCACCTTTGTACTACAATATGGTTAATTGTATACTCATGCGCTGGCTTTAACTAACTGCCCAGAAGCCTCTAAGAAAGGCATAAAAAAATGTGTTAAGATGCTTAGCGTAAAATAAGTTAAATAAGATATGGATTAATGGGCACCCTCCAGTCTAGGAAGGCCAAAATAATAAACCAGGTAAAGATATGGAATCTTCCTTCTTAGGAACCAAATCTTTCCCAGAGTTTTAAATCTAGTCTGACACCTTTCCAGGACCAATGAGAACTGGTTTGAACTGGTTCTCCAGGACCCCAAGAACAAAGGAAAGCCCCTTAAATGTTCCACCCTTTTCCCTAGACCAATAATTCCCAGCCAGAGAGATGCAGCACTCTGAGAGCCTTTTAAGGGTGCTTCAGAATATTAGTACCATTATGTGTGCAAACACCTACATGTGATTCACAAAGTAAACCCAGAGATTTTAAATAAGAATCCCAGAGTGTCAAAAACATTCTGGCCTGTTGTGGTCTCTCCGAGTTCTTTATAACAGAAGAATTGCTCTATTTTTTTCCATAGTCAAAAAAAAAAAAGAGAGAGTTCCTGAAATGTGGTGCTGGTAAATTCAGAAAAGTTATGGAGGGCTGCCTGGAGTCTAAAAAGTTTAAAATTACTGTCCAAGTCTATAAAAGTCAACTCCACAAACAGTAACTTCAGGAACAGATCTGGAAATAGGTAGATCTATTCCCACTGTGCCCTGTGAGGCCACCGGGAAAAATAGAGGAAGGAAGGCTTGGTAGGGAAACCCGTACCTTGTACTTTTTATATTTTCCTTTCTTTTCTGTTAAGGTGCTAATTAGTAGAGTAGAACTAATCAAAGTCCATTTGCCTTTGGATGGCCTGAACAGTCTCCTTGTCATTTAAGAGATTAAGTGGAAAAGTGATAAATCCAGCTAAGGGGGTTCAATTGGTTAAATGTCCTTTAATCCATTGACTCCTTTCTTTGAGCACACATTCCCACTCTTTGCAGTTGCCTATAATTCAGGGGTCCAAAACAGTATACAGGCAACCCCCGCTTAGCACTCTTAATTGATTCCCAAAACATGAGCATTAAGTGGAATAGCGTTAAGCAAAACCAATTTTCCCATAAGATGCCCATGAATGTTATAACGAAACTTGCTGAGCGCTAAATGGAATCAGGTATCAATGTAAAATGAGCATTATAGCAAAATAGCGCTAAGCAAAACAGCGTTAAGCGGGGGTTGCCTGTATAGGATTCCAAATACAATGGTACCAAGCACTATAGAGTAGCATTAGGCACCCTGGCAACCATATTCCTTACTAAGACCCTAATGCTACAACAAACTTCATGCAGACAGCCCTATCAACTTCAGTGGAGGTCTGCAAGAAGAAGAATGGTGGAACAGGGCCTAAATCTGTAACGGGAATATCCTTTCCCATCACACAAACTGTGCTTTGGCAGAGGTAGGATAGATACAGAAAAAAAGGTGTTTTCTACTTCGCTCCATCCTGACACTACAGATGTATAACATGGGAAGCAGTTACATATCCTATACAGTTGCATGTAATCTCCCCACATAATTAACATTCTTAAATATAAGTATTGCCAGATGTGAACTGAGAAAGAAGCAAAGGAGAACCATGGCAGGGTAAGAAGAGTGCATAACTCCTGGCACAAACAAATATCTGCCTCCTCTCCAGGCACTGGTTTCTTTGCATGTGTTCTAGGACTGCTTAGGTGTAAAAAAAATTGCTACCTGGTTACTCAGGCACTGGGATCCACAGCAGCCAGTTCAGACAGATGAGGTTTCCAATAAGCCGGCCAAGCACCCAAGAGATTACAGGAGGAACTCCTTGCGGGACATCACAAGCCACTCTTTCTAAGAGTTTCTTCTGCTTATCTGATGGAAAATGAACACAAACAACAATGTTAAATTTGGAGAGCAACAGTGCCAGCTAGACAGCCCCTGCCCTGTCCCCAAACCAGTTCCAGACCACTAGAGAGAAAAGCTGATACCTGACTACACCAAACCCCTCACTGAAGCATAACAAACACTGCAAGACAGTTCTTCCCAAGCAGAAAATCTGCTCCATGGAGAAGTGGAGTAAATTCAGACTGGTAGCCTTAAATCCCATAATGTGAATCAATCAACTAAACTTCTCTCCCCTGGAATTGCAAATGCCACCACAGCAGACTAACCCATTCAGAGGCAGGCAGTACAACATTAAGTAGAAAGGTAAGATATCAGACAACATGATGGGTGCAGTAAAATGTATGTCTTTTGCTTAATTTCAGAGACCTCTAGGGCCAAAGGCAGCAAGTGCAGATACTAATGTATCTATGTGCTCCCATTATAAAGCAAGACTCAGCTCCCATACACTGCTTTTCATCAGCAGATCACAAAACACTTTAAAGAAGAGGTCAGTCAGTATCACTATTCCCATTTTACAGGTGGTGAAACTGAGGCACCAGCTGACACCAGATTTCAAAAGCCGTTATGCGGTGTTCCATCCCTGAGGTCAAGCCTCTCTGATAAGACCGTAGATGGCAAAGTTTTCTCCACACATCATGACAATGCCCTTGGCTCTCTTCAACTCAGTAGCCAAGTTGGGCCTTGGACAAGAGGAAAAGGAACAACCTACAGACCAACACAGGATTGGCAGCATTGGCTTTGGGATCCAGCCATCTGATTCTGTGTGCCCCCATGCACATCCTTGAGAGAGGGCACAGGTGTTGAATATGCAATGCCACAGCCGTGGGAAGTAAGAGGGAACTGGAGGAAAAGCATGCTGCAACTGGAGTCAGCCAGTCAGTCTGTTGGAGTTCTTGCCCAGACTGCAAGTGAGTGACAGCACCAGTCTATGGAAAGGCCCAGGACAGGATTGCTGCCTTGTAAACTTTGCATTCTGCTGCCCAAAATGGTTCCGTGGTGGGTTCTGCCATGGCTGAATCATCTGGGTCAGAGCCTGCAGCTGCTTTTTCCTCAAAAGGTCTCTTGAAACAAAGGCTCCTTTGAAGCAGTTCACAGCATAAAAAACCCTTGTTTTCTATGATGAAAGGAAGAGAATGGCAAAGAAACACCCAAGATCCCCCTCAAGGGAGGTGGAGAGCCATTGGTGAAGGGAAGCAGTGGCCAGTCTCTGTCCTGCAGTGTTGACACGAAACACAATGACTACAGGCAGCAGCTGACACAGGTAGAAGAGGAGCTAATTGAGGTTGTGAACAACTAACCAATTCCCTTGTAGCAGAAAGCCCCCTTTTTCCTCTTGCCTGCATTTGCTCTCCCCTCTTTGAATGTTTTTCCTCTTCTACCTTTTCTTCCTTCCTCTTTCTTTCACTTTAAGATAAGGAATTGTGTTTTAAAATTTGTATGTGTGCATTTTGTATCTCCCTGTGTATTTTGGTGTTTTTATCTATTTGTGTGCCATGGCATTTGTAGCTTATACTTTATACTCCTCACCTTTCAACTGTAAATGTGTTTAGTAACAATGTTAACAAGGGCAGGAGTCAAACTGCGGCTTCCCTGTATCAGGCTGGCCCCTGAAAGAGCCAGTGAATCAGTGATTGAATGCGTAACACAGTAGCAGACAGCAATTAACACCTAAAAAAACTGCAGATCAACCAGGAAGAAATCAATAGCAACCGGGACATCTCTAAACGTCACTGATCAAGGGCTAGAAGCCCTGGCCTGAGTTAATCAATGCCAGGGGCCAACTTTTGGGATGAATATCTCCAGATCAACCACTCCCAGAGCCCTATTCAAAATTCATCAATGGACTCCCAAACAAGCACATACATGTGGACGACCCCTGGGGCTGACAGATGCCATCCAGTAGCCACTGAGGGGGGAATTACCACGGGGGTCAACGACCCCTGGATTGGGCAAACCTGAAAACTGGGGAGTCACCAAAGTTTGCCAAGGACAGATAAAAAGCAGTGAAAAGTGACCCTCAGTGGCGCCCTCTTGATCTCCAACTCGACCAGCACCCAACCTGTCCAGCCAGAAGGACCAGCCGGTGACCCCTTTCTGGAGGATAACACCACACTGAAAGAAGCCTCGACTGGCCATCGACAGCAGACTCCGGCGCTTGTAGGATAGGTATACCTGACTCTTGTAGCTTGCTACTGTGTGCGTGCGTGGACCAGCCCCAAGGTTTATGATTTAACTTCATTACAGTGCTTCAATCCGCCTAATAAACCAGAATTTTAAGGATCCTGAGTTGGACATTTGTAGCCAACACCCTAAGGGGAGAAGCAAGAAGTAAGAAAAGCAGGGACCCAGAGGCCAGTTTTCCCCAGCCTTGTCCAGCACATGACACTAGTGGGGACTGCACAACTGCAGCACATATTGGTGCAGCTCCAGCCACTTGCCCTGCACTGATTCAATTCTCCTGCAGAGATGAGATTCTGAGAAGACTGGATCCATGCAGACCCCAGAGATGAAGGGAATCTGCTGAAGTGAGGGAGTACCACTGGGTGTAGAGCTAGGATGGTGGAAATTACTTTGATGCAAATGGCAAGGAGCTGATTTTAAAAGATCAGTCCCTCACTCCGATGATTCCTGAAGCCTCAGTGGGTACATTTCCACCCCGGTAATCCCAATTACTTTCTGATGACCATATGCATGCATGCCAATCTTGTCTACACAGGGGAAGTTACCCCAAAACTCTAACAAGCTGTAAAACCAATTTAACTAAATCAGTGATGGCCCAACTGGCTCAGGGACCCTGTGAGCAGTTGGCATTAACCATAAACCACAGTAGCATACAGATGCCTGGGTGAATTGTGCAAAAATGCTCCGGTTCAAAAGTATAAAAACTACAGCACATTAGTTCACCCTGAGAGAGGCAGATGACATGCGTGTTGCATTATTCACGATTGCGGGAAAGGCCTACCCAATACACGCAGTAAACAGAAAACACCTTTGATAATGTATTTTTTGGCATGCTGAAAGTGACCAGCTGAAGAGTGATGCAGAATCCGCAGTCTGAGTACTGCTGAGCTAAACTGATGTTAATACTAATGTTAAATCAGGTTCTAACCCATCTTTACTCAGCAACCACCATCTTCAGCATGTTTGGAGAGTAGATATGGCCCTCCCAGAGTGGGGTTCACACAGCTGTTCTAACTATTCCAAATCTCTTTGGCTGACCTGGTTTGAAAGTAGGTTAGAATCTGACGGATTGCCAGGCCAGGGCATGGGATGGAAAGCATAGATGTTCTTCTGCATTTTCTCTAGCAAGCTTTCCCCTTTACCCCACTTAAGGATCAGACAAAAGAGAACATTTTCAAACAGGTTTTCACTTTGCTAAAATAATTTCTGCTGAAACAGAACTTCTGCCAAAAGCCCAGGTTGAGGGAAGACCTGTGCTATGGTCTTGTATATAGGGAGGAGTTGCCACTAATATTTTTGGCAGCTCTGTCCAGCTGCTTAGGTAGCAGAAAACCCACTAGACTAGTGTTTCTCCATTTCCCAGAAGCCAAAATGATTGGACATGGCTTTGTGACTGGTTAACACATCTGTTTTAATGTTTTTTTGCGGGGGAAAGTGGTAGCTTTAAAATTTATCTTGCAGTAATCCAAAATCCACCCCATCCAGAAAGGAGACAGTACATAAGCTATCTATATATTTTGCAAGTCCCTGATTCCCTGTTACACAAGTTTCTCAGAAGCTCTCATGGGTATTTATTCTCACTGCAACCCTCTGAGACAGAAATGTAAAGTGGGAACAATAATACATTTATCTGGAGATAAATCTCTCCTTACTACTCACGCATGCAGGGAACTAAGAATGAGAGCCTTAACTGACTCCCCTCAAGGTCACCCAGGGCATAAGTGGCAAAGGTGGGAAGTGAGTCCAGGACTCATGAACCCACAGCTTTTACCACAAGACTGCTCCTTTATAAAACAGATTGATTTAGCTTCCTTCTCCAACCTGACCATCAAATGCAAAAAAAAACGCAAACTCACACAGAGAACATCAGTGATGAAAACTAAATGAGAGACAAACTTCTTTCCGTTTTAGGTGCATAAAATAATACTGATAAAACAGGTCATGAATATTTAAACACAATTACCTCAATAGCCCCATAAACATGTAGATTAGATAAATATTCTGGGACAGATCTTCAATTGGTGTCAATTGGTGGAGCTCCTACTGAAACCAAGACAGCTGCCTTCTTGTGCACTGGGGATGAATCTGGTCCTGTGTACGTTAGTCGTTTATGTTCCACGCAAGAGAAGCAGTAGCAGCACTAAAGCCTGTGTGAGATAGGCCTAAGATAATGGGACTTCTCTTTAAATGCTGCTAAAAACAAACGTGATCAAGCAGGGCCAAAGGGTGAGGAAGTCAGATTAGCTTACATTGCACCAGCCGCATGCTGAAAAGTCCAGCCATCTACCCGTCCCCTGCATGCTATCAATTACGCAGCAGCAAGTGCTGCGCAAGGGGGACATAAACCTGTCAGAATATGGCCAGGAAAGATCTTGGCAGGTATCGGCATTTGTCCTTTACAAGACCTGCTTGTTCAGAGAACCTAGGACACAGGGTGAGGAAGAGCACAGAAAGAAAGCACACAGCATAAGGTAAAGAGAAGAAAGGAGAAAAACAGCGAGAGCACAATGTAAGGGAGGAAAGTCCTCTATAATTGGTATCCTGTATTTTAATATAATGGTAACAGGGGTCATAAGTGTGGGTATGAGACAGCAAGATCTTAAATACAAAGCAATCCAGTGCCAGACTGCATCGGAGCCTTTTGTACAACTGACACGTTTCCTCCCCTGGAGAAAGAGTAAAGAAAATTATTTCTCCTAAGCATTTCAGAGGGATTATCTATTGGGATATGCTGAGAAGGAACTGCAGGGGAGATCAAAGCAATCTAGAAATGTGAATTAAACTATCATGAATGCTCATATAGACTCTGGGGGCACATTAAGCAGGGGTCATCTGTTAGGGTCACACAAGGTAGGTCCTATACCAGAGTAACTGCATGGTACTGAATGGCCCTCAGTGTCTTTTAGTATTATCTTGAGCACCTGCAGCAACTGGGAGGGAAAGGTTGGGGGCAAGATATGCATGGGACTGGGGATAAATCCTCCCCCACTGTGATACAGTACTGCCATGTACTGCAGGGAGCTTAAGCCTCTCTCTAAGAGGCCTGACCCACTACCAGGGACACCAGCTCACACAGAACCCAGACACCTCTTAATGGTATTCCTCTCTTTTCCCTACTAAGCTCACACTGGGGTCAGACACAAGGTACCAGATCTGGGCTTACCCAACATGACGATCCAACTCAGTGTTTTCAGAACCACTTTCATGCCCAGAATATAATGGACTCAGGTGCAGTCAGAAACTGACCCTTGTAAGTAGGAACAAATGATCCTGGGCACTGCCCAGTTTTAAGAATTAAGGCCCATAAAATGAAGGCAGTTTAAAATTAACAAAAGGAAGTTCCTTTCCACACAGCGTGTCATCACAGTGTGGATCTCCTTGCCACCAGGTGCTGTGGACGCTGACAGTTTAGCCAGGTTCAAAAAGAGATTGGATGCATTCTTGAAGCAAAGGGGCATTAGTCGCAACTGAGCACAGGAGTGAGGGGCACCATCTGAACCAGACTTTCCTAGGCCCTAAATGCTGGAGGCTGTAAGTGGGAGAGGAAGTGGGGAAAACCCCTGGTCATACCCAGTTCACTCTCCCTTTCAGCATCGCCCTCTGCTATGGTGTGACACAGGAGCTCTTGGGTATACGCCAATTGATTTTGGGGCACAACTAAAGAGAAAACAGGGAAACAGGGGCAGGAACAAAGTCAGAAGTTCAAAGTCGGGGGGGGAAACATGACACACACCAACAGAGCACACCAGCCAGTGCCCACTGGCCCTTGAATGCATCAAAGGAGCCAGCGGACTCCTGCCTAGTGAAACTGTGGGGAAACATGAAAGGATGAGGGACAGAAAAGCGGCCCCACGGTCCCCAAGGGTCCTCCCAGCCAGAGCATCCTCACTGGTAGACAGATTTTTTTTATTATTATTAATAATATTTTTTGTGCTCCAGGTCAAATCAGCCAAATGAGTTCCAAATTATATCGGCTGAGCAGAACTCAACCATCCCAAATACCGTGTGGATTGAGCAGGCAAAATTCAATCATTCTCAACACCTTGTACAGCATAGCATACTTGTAGGCAAGTTGTAGCCAGGCACTACCACTGGCAAGCATCCTTTGTCCCAGGCTCTCGCCCTGGGACTTCAGATACTCCTGAACC